AGACCGGAGCTGCCCCGGACCGGAGGCATCCTGGACAGCTCGGGCGTCCAACGTTCTGAGGATCATCGATCAAGGGAGGAAAAACCACCCGGACGGGACAATTGGCGTTTCCTAAACGGCTCTGGGCGTTTACTAAACAGCCCTGCCCTGTTCGATCCCTTCTTTGCGCGCGCTTGCACAAGGCCCCGTGTAGCGGGGCGGTTATTCTGGGGGTGGATTTTCTGCCCTCTGATCGAACGGGGCCAGCCAGGGTCGGTGGCGGTGCACATCTCCCGATCCCCCGTCGGGCTCCGCCGAGCCGGCGAGCGCTGGCCCTGCGCCGGCGGCGGGCCGCCGAGCCGCGCTGGCCATGGCCGCGGGCGGCCGCGCGCCCGGCGCCCCCCAGGGCAGGTAGGCCTTGCGAGATCCGCCCCTGCGCGGGGAGTCGGCGGCGAGCAGACGGGCTACCAGACTTGAGTCGGGCATGCCCCTCTGCAGGAGAAGTGCTCAACAATAGTCCAGAAATAGTCTGGGGACGAGGTTCGACTCTTTCTACGCATCTTCGAATACTATCTAACTTTTTTCTTCGCCCAGAATCCGCCTGATGGGGGACATGCCCGACTTCATGCCAGACGTGCCCCTGGCCCAGGGTGCCCCCGAGGAGTCCCAAGGAGGTCCCCACGACCCCCAGGGGTCCAGCGACAAGGGGGTGGTGCAATAGACTAGGTGCACTAGGTTCTAGATTTGTGAGGTTGCAACGCATGTGGGGTGTGCAATACATTCTGGGGCGCAATGTATTGCTGTACTTTCGCGCGCAATACACCACTTGCAGCACAATGCAACACACTTCTCCTGCGCAGTACGCTTGCAATTCGCTTGCCCCAACTCTATTGCACCACCCCCTCTCAGCCTGACCGGACCCCCTTTTGGGTCACCCGAACACCCGCCGCGAGACCCAGAGGGCCCCAGGGGGCTCCCCAGAGGCGGCGCGGAGCCGGGGGCGCCTCGGGCCAGGGGCGCCTCTTGGGCAGCGTCCGACGCAGAACCGGGGCGGGGGGGCGAGGGGGGCGGCGGCCTCTGTGCGCTGCTCCTTGAGATTCGGGCCTCCTCCTCCCCCTCCTCCTCCTCCTGCTCGCCCTCCTCCTCCTCCTCCTCGCCCTCTTCCCCGTCCTCCTCGCCCTCCTCCCCGCCCCCCTCGTCACTCTCTCCCTGCCTCCCCTCCCTCGCTCCACTCCTCCTCCTCCTCCTCCTCCTCCTCCTCCTCCTCCTTCTCCTCCTCTTGAACCATCCTCTTCGAGTAGCGGCAGGATGATTGGCAGCAGTGGCGGCGGCTGCGATTGAGGTCATTGAGCCCACGATACCTTCCTGGAGGGTGGCGGTTCACGGTCTTGCTCGAGCACGTGCGGTGCCACATCATGTTTGGTGACGTCCGTCGTCCCGAGGGCGGAGTGAGGCAATGCCGCGCCGTGCCGTGGTACCATGCCGTCACGTAGTGCCGTGGTGCCGTGCCGCCACGCGCGGGCAGTGACGGTGCGCCGCGCCGTGTCGTGGTGCCGTGCCGCAAGTTTTGGGGCTGTTGGGGAATTTCTTAGGGGGCCTGTTTGGGGCCTTTTGGGGGCCTTTGGGGCTTCCTGGGGGCCTGTTGAGGGAAAATTTGGGGCCTCTAGGAAACCTTTGGGGGCCTCTCGGTACTTCCTGGGGGCCTCTCGAAGCCGAGGGCTCGGAATAACCGCTCGGGTCCCCCGTCTGGGCTCCCTCGTCGAGGTGCCGTCTTGGGGGCGTCCTTCGGCCGTTCTGAAGGTCTCTTGGGCCGTCTTGGGGGCCTCTCGGGCCGTTGTGCGGTCCCCGTCTTGGGACGATTTTGCGAGCCTCCTCGGTCTTGGAGCGTCGGGACGCGTAACAAGCGAGAACGCCAACGTCTGTCAAACACCAAAGGCATTCAATGAGGTTGTGGGGCCCTCTTGGGAGGTTTCTTGGGGCGTCTGGAGGGCATTTTGGTGCCGTCTGGATGCCCTCTTGGGCATATTGGCATGATCTTGGGCCCTCTTGGCCCGTTTTGGGGCCCTCTATCCCCCCATGATACGTTCGTCCCGGGCCAGGGGTGGGGGGGTCAAGTTGTCGGCTTGGAGTCCCTGGAGGGGATTATGGGTGGAGCACTCGCACATGCCTGGAGACCTACAAGGGGTCGGCGGATTTTCTCCACGCCGACGTGTCCGATGCGTCGCCAGCATCGCCGTTGCATCGTCGATGCAGTGGTGACTCGGCGCGATCTTCTGACCCCGTGCCGATCTAGGATGCCTCTATTCGCTCAGCAACCGAAACATCCGACCATACTATGTGTTCAAGTCTCTGCCCTAGAGGTCCCTCCTCCCCCTCCTCCTCCTCCTCCTCCTCCTCCTCCTCCTCCTCCTCCTCCTCCTCCTCCCCCCTCCTCCTCGTCCTCCCTTCGCCCCGCGTGCACTCCCCCCGCGCGCTTCCAACCCCCCGCGCGACGTCGTCGAGTGGGGAGGCCGCCCACCCCATGGAGCGCCTGCGGGTGGGGCTCGGGGCGCCGCCGAGCGCGAGGAGGGCGCGCCAGGACGGGAGTTTCGCGCTGCTGCCCCGGCAGACCGAGGACGAGCTCCTCCTGTCAGAGGTGCGCCTCGCATTGGAGCGGAGGAGGAGGAGGAGGAGGAGGGGGGAGGAGGAGGTGGAGCGCCTGCGGGTGGGGCTCGGGGCGCCGCCGAGCGCGAGGAGGGCGCGCCAGGACGGGAGTTTCGCGCTGCTGCCCCGGCAGACCGAGGACGAGCTCCTCCTGTCAGAGGTGCGCCTCGCATTGGAGCGGAGGAGGAGGAGGAGGAGGAGGGGGGAGGAGGAGGGTAAGAGAGGGAGGGAGGGAGTGGTAGGGAGGGAGGGAGGGAGGGAGGGAGGGAGGGGGGCGGAGGAGAGGAGGAGAGGAGGTGAGGAGGAAGGAGGAGGAGGAGGGTGAAGAGGAGGAGGAGGAGGAGGAGGAGGAGGAGGAGGAGGGAGGGAGGAATGGAAGTTGGAGCAGGAGCACATGAGGGAGGAGGAGGAAGGAGGGTGCGGATAGGTAGGATGATGGAGGTGGGGCCTCCTGGGGGCCTCCTCAGACAGAAAGCTAGATTGTTCGGTGCGTGTGTCCACTCTTGGTCCCCTCTTGGGGCCTGCCTGGGGCCCCCTCGGGCTGTCTTGAGGCCCCCTTGGGGCGTTTTGGGGGCCCTCTTGGCTTCTTGGGCAGTCTTGAGTTCGTCGTGGGCGATTTGAGCCGATCGTGGGGGCCTCTTGGGCCCCGTCGCGCCTCCCTGCGTGACTCTTGGGCCCTGTTGGCCCGTCCTGGGGCCCCTTCGGGCCGAAACGAGAATCACTCGCCACCACAAACATAATAATAATAATAATAATAAACAGTAAATAATAAGACATAATCACTCGCCACCACTTCCCAGAGCACGGGCACGCGCCAAGCCCCAGGAGGTTTCCGGAATGTGGGCCCGAGCACCGAAAACACCCCTCCAGACTCAGGACTGAAGCTCAGGGGCTTGGGCAAAGAACCTGAGGACCCCCTTTCCGTGCCCAGCGGCACGGTGGCGGATCCGTGGTCGAAAACAGGCCTGATCCGGCCTAATGCCAGATCCCGTTGATCCGCCTGAATTTGTTTTAGTTTGGACTGATCCAGCTTAGTGGCCCCTTTGTCACACCCTTTCATCGGGTTCAATCATCGTTCCCGCGAGGGCCTCCCAGAAGATGCTTCCTAAAGTCGGAAGTCGGCACGATCGGAATGGACACGGAAACACTGGGGACGAATGCCGACAGCAATTATTGTACATTTTGAACATAACTCGCTGTCGGCGTCGCCGCAGACGTCGTCCTTTTGAGACAAAGGGCCGCCTGACCAACAGCGGCAGCTGTCGACTTTGGACAACACTCGCTGTGCTGCTGGGCACTGTGCTCCGTTCTCCGTTTCCACATCGGGCGTGCCAGCGCATCGAATGACAAATCACGGCATTCCTGTCGGCGTTCCGCGCGGCCGCGCGCCGGGGATGGGGTGCACCGTGGAGACCCGTGCCAAGACACACCCTGCTTCTATCCAGGGTGCCCTGGGCTTCTTCGGTTTCGATGGATTCACTGCGGAAGGCGTGACGTTCCCACACCAAAAGTCAAGGGACGTCCTGGGGTCTTAGGGTTGGGTCTCCTGTGGAAGGACTCTTGTGGACGGGCCCCCACTGTAGCGCCAGACCAAGAAATCCGCGCGGAGTTCCGAAAGTTTGTGGCTGTGCAGTTTTCTGGCTCCTCCAAGCCATACCCCGAGTCATGGTTTGTCAGAGCCCCGAATCATCAGGGGTAACTCGGGTCAGGGATAACTCGGGTTCCTTTTTCGGGATTCCGAACCCGAGTTATCCCGGACCCGAGTTACCCCGGATATTTCGGGCGTCCAGGGCCCCGAATCATCAGGGGTAACTCGGGTCAGGGCTAACTCGGGTTCGTTTTTCGGGAACCCAAACCCGAGTTACCCCGGACCCGAGTTACCCCGGATAACTCGGGCGTCCAACGAGTCATGGTTTGTCATGACGCGACTTCAGAGGTCTGGACCCATGCCCCGGGACCGGTGCTTCTTCCTGAGTCGTTTTTGACGGTCCCGAGGCCCGGCAAGGCCCACCAGAGGTCGAAAACAGCGAAAAG